ACTACAATACTGCTGACAGGCGACAGAGGTCCACAGTTGCCCCGCAGCAAGGCTCCTCCCGCCCTCCCGTAGACAGTTCACGAGCTCAGTCACTTCGTAGACAGTTCACGAGCTCAGTCACTTCATAACACCAAAGATGGATGGCGGTAAACGCTCTAAAGTGAGGCACCACTACACTAAGAAAGAAAAAGACAAGGCACAGTATAATGCCTGTTAATAGCTTGCCACAGGCATAGCTCAGTTAAAATAAAGCACAGCTATTATGCAATACATTTGAATTGCATGTATATTTTTTATTTGTAAAAATGTCAGTTAAAGCTTAAAATAATTAAGATATTTTTGTTATCTAAACGTTTGACATCTTTCTTTTACAATTTTGGAATCGAAACGGGGAATCGATAAGAACCGGAATCAATGCATTTCAAACGATACCCATCCCTAGCTGAGCCTGTGACACAATCCAAAAGACATCAATGCAGATACAAAGTTTGTGAAAGGACTCACCTTGAAGAAATGTGTCCTCCTTGTTGTGTCTGTTAGCAGCGAGTGAACCAATGATTGGAAACCTTCCACTGTATTCATGATTTTTAAATCCCTCTTCTAGGAGACAAAATAGAAACAAAATTAAACTTTTTCCATCCTTAAGTCTTAAAATAATATATTGACGCAACACTACAGTCCGAGATTGTGTAACGTTTAATTCTGCAAATACCTCCAATATTATAACTGTTGTAATTGTAATGCAGCATGAGGCCATGGAGCATAAAGATCATGCCATTTTTCTTCAGTATAAAACCTGCAAACAGTTTACAGTGACAAAAATGGGAAAGCAATTTGTAGTGCGAGTCTAGATATCAAATGTAATTTACTTTAGTAGTTGCAGAGGAGGTTAACACAGCAGCAGGAGCACGGATCCTTTCCAGATGTGACATTATCTCCTTTTTATCCGGCTGTGTAGAGCAGAGCTCCAAGATCAACTGAAAATAAATTGATAAACCGTACATTCAGACCAGCAAACGGATCATTAAAAATACTTGGCAATGATGTGTCAAAATGGAGAATATTATAGTCAGGTAGATAGGAAAGGCATCAGATTCTCACCCGTGCTCTCAGCCCCAGTGCCAGCTTGCCCTGGTGTCTCGCAGTGAGCAGCCCAGGGACAGTCTCACATAGTGAGGTCACAAATTCCTCCACAACCCCATAGTGCATCACATCCCTCTGCTTCATCACCTTCCACAGAGCTGCAGACACCAGGCGCACAGGCGGGGCCAGGAGCTGGAGTGCAGCTAAAGGGAGGGTGGCATCTGTGCAAGAGACAAAAGAAAAGAGACAACAATCATTGCAACTCATGTGAATAAATAGGCAGGGTTGAGAATGTGTGTCTGTCTCTATAGATTGAAGATTCCGATGTTACAGTACTGGCAATAACCCAGGTGGTGGTAATGCAGGGGTCCCACATCAGCTGTCAAATTGTCACCTTCCACTGCCACTACAATATTGACAGTTTCACATGTATTTGAATCCTTATTCCATGTATTAACACTTACCATTTTCCTTAGCTTTTCTTGCAGTCATACTGCTGAATTTGCAAGCTAGCTTAAGCTAATGAGGTGAACGTCTATTAACTAGCTTAGCAACTTTGACACATAACTCCCAAATTCCGCTTCAAATCTGCCGCTAAAATAACAGTTTACCCGAGGAACGTTAAACAGGAAATACTTCAAGAATGTTGTTTCCTAACTCCTGCAGTTATCTGTCGTTAACGTTACGCCTCGGTAGTCCTGTTGTTTTTGTTTACCCGCTCAAAGGCTCAAACAGCTAGCAACACTTCTCTAAAGTTCTTCTTCTCATCCTCCCGCCTTCGCCGCAACAATATATAGGGTTTCAAATGCTCACCAGGGTGCGCCGGATTAGCGGTGCTTAGTACATTTGTAATTAAGGACATTGGTTCGAACAGGAAACTCAATCCGCGCGCGAACTATAATATATAAAACAAGCGCACACCCTGATTTTACAGGATATGACGTAGCAGTTTCGACAGCAGTTAGAAGAAGTCTATGTCAGTCTATATGGCGCTGGTTGCTACCATCTGTTTATTAAATGTTTAATAATAGTTAAACATCGTTTAAAACTGTGCGGAGAAATAGTGTTAAGACTGTCAATTTATTTTAATGAGCCTATGAACACAGAATGATGATACTATAAAAAACAAATAAAAAAGGTATTATGAAGCAAAATAATGGCTCAGGAAAAAGCAAGATAAATCGTTGAATATATATATATATATTAGGAATTAGCGTTGGAAAATAGATTGATTGGACATGTATATCAGCTAATATAAGCAGCTATACAATTTAAAACATGACTATCAGATGTTTAAAACTGTGCAAACAGTATTGGCTTCAACTAAAATGATCCAGTATCAGTTATTATCTAAAGAGGTAATACCTTTGCTAGTTGAAAACATTTATCTCACACACAAACACACAGAGGCAACATGAACTTTGCCTTTTATGTCCTGTATCTGAGTTATCACCATGTTTAGGACAAAGTCCAGCTGCTGGGGCAATAACAAGCTGACATTATCACCATTTGCTACACCAAAACAGCTTACGAAATAATACGTCCAGGAGAAGAGACAACAAGAAACTGAGAAACATGGATACAACCTCTTCATTTATCAAGTGAGTGAAACATTACTTTTGGCCTGTTGATATTGTATTGATTGGTTCACGACCTCTTCGCTTGACTAAAAATCTAAATATCATTATGTTGCTGTTGGAATAATTATTGTAGGGGCTAGGCTTAAGTAGACTGACTGATTAGAGTAACAAAGTTGATGATTTGTCATTTTAAGATATGTTTTAATGTGAAATTTGACATTTAGCTTCATTATCATGAGAGTTGTCCTCTTTTTATAAAGATTTTGATACGTAAAAGTGTGAAAAACGCAAATGTAAATATTATAAAACTATTGATTGTTTAATGTCATTTTGGCTTTCTTCAACACTGGCATGACATAAAGTGTGACACTTAAGTAGAACAGAGCTATCATTAATGTTGTTAGTAGAGGTGCTTTTCCTTTAATGACAAGTCGAAATGTCTGTTGTGAAATCCAACAAAGTAAAACAGTTCATGACCGTTTCACCTGTTTTTTACTCAGATCTGTGACCAAGCGAGTGTGGTCCCCACCTCAGCGTCCCTTCAGAGTATGTTGTCACAACAGGGAGACCAGGAAGGGCATCACAGCCGGGACCCTGGAGGAACTCAAAGAGAGGGTGAGAGCCGTTGGAAAACATAAATAATGGAAGGAAATAAAAGAATAGACTCTGGGCTTATAGTAAATGGGATATTATAAATATATAAAATAACAAAAATTAGGAGAAAAACATTAAAAAGTCTGATAAAAGGCAGTGCTAAAAACATTGGTAGAAACAAAAAAGGATAACGTTGAGAAAATATATTTAAAAAAGAGATCAGTTCTCTTAGAATGAAGTTCAAACCTTTATAATTTGTCCGCTTAAAATGTCAGCAATCAACAATTGAATGGTTATCTCATCTAAAATCTTTGATGATGTCAAATATATGATCACATGCCAGTCAAGGCTGCACTAAAGTGGTGTGAAGATAAGATTTCTGACGTGTAGATAAGGGCCAGACTGCATTTTCTGATAACATTTAAGTATTAATTATATGTTTAGCTGCTGGCTAATTGAAAGTGGCTCCAATTAGAGTTGAAAGGTAACAGGAAATGGTTTCCATCTGACTACAAATAGCTTCATATATGAAAATACATTTTGTTCTGGAGTCCAGCTAATTAATGTAACAGTCAATACAAAACGAAGTATACTATATTTGTTTCTAGTGCACAATCATACAGCTTGAGTCTGTGCTGCAGGTCTGCCAGGCCCTGCTGCTGTCCCTGTCCGCAGGGTCTCTGTCTCTGGCATGTGAAGAGGACGGCACTGAGGTCGACTCCGACGAGTTCCTCATGACCCTGCCCGACAACACCATGCTCATGGCCCTGGAGCCTGGAATGACATGGAGACCACAACCGGTATGTTTGAGGAGATAACCCAAATGTTATTTATTATAAACCCTCATCTATACTTTTATGAGTCTTAATATATGTGCTCTGATCCCCCCCAGGGTGCAGTTGTGCCCAAATCTCAAGACCACAACAAGCCCCGTACTGGGAGAGACATAGCTCGTGTGACCTTTGACCTGTACAGGATAAGCCCAAAGGATGTCTTTGGCTCTCTGAATGTGAACGCCACTTTCCAAGGCCTGTATTCTGTGAGCGCTAACTTTGAGTGTCTGGGGCCCAAGAAAATCATCAGGTAACTAGCCATGCAGAATAAAACACCACAGTGATAATTGTACTTCAATTCCCATCTCTATGCGTTCCATACTTATGTTATTTTTCTACCTCGCAATAATATATGGAAAATACTTTGACAATCTGCTCGAATGAGAAGTTAAAGAGCATTAAACCGAGTGCAATGTCAGTGAAACACAACCATACTGACAACTTTATCTTGTTTTTCAGAGAAGCCCTGCGTGTGGCCTCCACCCTCCTACACGCCGCTGGACGCCTGCTTATCACTACCGCCTCCGTGATCCGTCGCATTATCGAAGGCGCAGAGCTCTGGCAGCCACAGAGGACAGAGTACAAAGCCAGCTGTATCCGACCTGCTTAGACGTATCATAGAGCAACTTGGACTGGTCATATTGTTGACTAAATAGGGATCTTTAACGCGTGAAGACCTGTAGTAACAACAGAGGAAGCTTTTTGAATGTAGCTGGATAACATGAGAATAACTGTCATCTGTTTTTCTATTGTTTGTGCAATATATTTCACATCATATTCTAGAATTGTCCTTTGTTTTTGGTAATTTGGTAACTATTTTTCTATTTGCTTTGAGATTACAGCCGCTGTTCACGGATCATTTTTTCAATTTGTGAGTGTTTCGATGTAAATAAAGACAAGAAAAGTCATGTTCAAACAACATAAACTGTTTTACTTGAACGACAATAAAAACGTCTGCACGGTACAAAAGGAAATCGTTGATGTGAAAATAGCATCCATGTTGCAAATTAGAAAAGACTGTACATACATCATAACCGCAAACAGGTCAATAACAATAACAGAATAACAGAATACATTCATGTGAAAGAGGAGCAAATGGCATGTGAACAAATGTCTTTCACAAAACCACAAAATGAAAGTGAACAAACTTCTTCGGATGCCTCCTTTAAAACGTGAACAGAGGATTCAATTGACTTCCCATTTGAGGTTATTCGGTGCACAGGATTTGACCTCCTTCTTTCACAGTGCTTCAGGCTCTGCCGGGTACCTGACGTTGGCGACGGCCTGGCCGTATTGCTCGCTATTCATCCAGTGCGGCCTGGATCTCCTTGATATAATAGCGCATGTTCTCCGACCCAATGAACCAACCTGTGGGCGTGGCAATTCCAAACACCTCAACCAGCCTGCTGTACGCCTCAACGTCTGGATACTGGCATTTCCGTGGAAAGCCTCCTTCATCCTCGACAACTGAAACTGTGCCTCTTTGTTTTGGGTACCAGACGGGGTGGGGAAGGCCCCTTTTTTTTTTATAGTTGCCTCCATTGGTGGTTGGTTTGACTCTGTTTGTGCGTCTGCGTTTCTGATTCTCCTCACAGTGACTTTTCTCAGGGGTCTTTTCCCATTATTAGAGGTAGAAGGAGGTGTGTCGTCATTTTTTCCCAGCACTTCTGTCTTGGTTGTACAGTGGGAGGAGGCATGGCATGCTGGGCCTGAAGTATTGAACACCAAAAGGGATGAGCTAGGGGCATTGCATCCTGTGTCTCATTGAGTACCCTACTTTCAGGGACAGGACGTTGCTTCTCTTTTTGGCTTCCTATTCCCTTTTCGTCTAAATAAGCGTTATCTTCCGACTGAGTGGACTTCTGACACTCCACTTCCTTTGTTTGCTTCTTTTTGCCCTCTCCCACAATATTCTCCTCCGCCTTGCTGTTCTTCTTAATTCCACCTCGTCTGTCACCGTCGTTACTTATTCCGCTTCCTCTGAGTATTCCTTTCCTTTCTTCTACTTTTCCATCCTTGTCTTTCTTCATTAGCTGCTCCTGTTCATTCCTTCGCTCAATAGTTCCATCAGCCTCCACATTTCCCCCACTTCTCCTTCCCTCAACTTGCACCCTGATTCCTCCCGTAACCTCTCCTGCCTTCCTTCAGTCAGGTTGTTTTACGTTTATTTTTCTTTGTCTCCATCCTCTTCTGTTCCCCTTTCCTGGTTTGCAGCTCTGCCTCCCTCCCAACTCAACTTGAACGCCTCCGAACCTTCCTGATGGTCATTAAATCCCCAGCTGATGCCATAGCGGAGCTCTGTCATCATCGAACACACCTTTTCACCTGGTCTGGGTGCAAGGAGCAGCGCTGTGCCAGTGTCAGCTGTCTGTTCTGGTCAGGTATGGACAACTGCTCGAAGGCCTTGTTTCAGCTCTTCTGCACCATCCAAGCCTGTAGGTTTGAAACTCATTTGTGAGTGCACCCATATAAGCTTCTCGCTCGTCAGAGACCACGGGGAGACACAACACATTGCTCTGGTTGGCCATCATGTCAACGTTTGGTTCTGATAAATCTCGCTCACGGAAACGCTGGTTGTCTTTTGTATGCAGCCGGAACCTCCAGAAATGTTTCTGCCTCATCTTTCACATCTGTGGGGATGCAGGACTGTAGAGTAGTTAACAAAAAGGTTGATAAAAAGAAAATTGAATTTATTTATACAGTACATTTTCCTGAAGGACACTTTTATCTTTTTGCTAGTTATGAACAAGGAAAGATTTTTTTTGGCCTAAAATCTTGAAACCAAAAACACAATAGTGGAGAAAATAAAGTGAAATAATTCCCTTCAGTGAAGTAAAAAGGGGACTTAAAAACGTTAGTGATAGGAAGATATAGTGCAAGTAAATAATGTTACCTTATAGTTTAACTTTACATGGATATGTTATTGCATTATGGCGGAAGAAGTACACAGATGTTATACTTAAGGAAAAGTCATAATACCACAGTCTAAATACTTTGTTACAAAAAAAGTCCTCATTCAAAAAAGTTACTCAAGTCAAATTAAAAAAAACAATAGAAGGCAAAATATCTTAAGTACCAAATCTAAAAGTACTCATTATCCAAAGTGGCCTTTTTTCGGGAAATAGATATTATACATCTGCTATAGTAATGCATTATGTGACAATCATGTGCAGCTGTTAAAGGATCACGTAACATTAGATACACTTGTATATACTGCCAGTTATTCCATTCCCTGATAGAACATCAGAGGTATTATTTGATTTTAATGTTCGTAAAATAACATAAAATGCAAAAGCAAATAGTAACTAAATGTTGTCAAAAATGTAAGTGAGTACCCATATTTGCTGCCAAAATGTAGAAGTAAAAAACTAGCATAATATGGAAAATACTTTTAAGTACAAGTGCCTTTTTACCTCTAATATACTGAAGTTAAAATTTAAGTAGGTCCAACTTTAGTAGAATGTACTCCAAGTATATTTCAGTAAATGTTCTGCATTACCACCTCATTGGCCGATAACACCAACATGAATAACGTAATAGGGTTATATTTTAAACTTATTTGTGGTAACAATTTCATATGAACTAGTTAGCTAACTTTAGCTAGCAAGGCTACGTTTGCTCTTGAAGTAATTTCTTTCCGATTCAAGTTAGGTTAACTGTATTCCACGGTAACATGTACAGTAATGTTATTGCCGTTAACTTTGGACCGTTTGGTTGACAAACGATTGCAATAATTTGAAATAAATATCAGTTGAACATTGACTTAGCTTAGCTTTTGGTTTAGCTGTGACGTTGTTTTGTTTACATCCCGAGCGTTTGTGATTACAGTTAAACAATAGGTACTTTTTATATTCCTATAAGTATCAATATGCTTGGGCAGCTTCAAGAATACACCGATATTAGATCACTTATTTCAATTAATGACTGGTTTTGAGTCCTTACCTTTCAGCGTCTTACCTTAAGTGGAGGATGCGCCTGTTAAGTTATTTGACAGTGTGTTTCTGGATTGGTCAATTAAAACCGGCCCTATCCGTACACTTCAAGTTAACTCTTTAGGCGTTTATCCTATTTAAATTGTTCCCCCGCCGCTCGCTCCGTAAAATGATAGCTTATATTATAAACAGTCTAGTGTAGTATACATGTAGGCTATCAAGTAGCCTTACTGTACACATTGAGGTAGGCTAACTTTTACTTTAATCGAGTATTTCAAGTTATGGCTAGTTTAATACTTACGTTTATTTTACCATTTAGGTAAAGTTACTTTTGCAGATTTAGGTTATGAATGAAACATTATGAAATCAACAAGATATTATGATTATACAGTATTTATTACAGGTTAAGCCATCCATAGTCATTTCAAATAAACCCCACCGTTACCAAGTGCAACATTGAAGTGGAACAAACAGATAAATCCACAATAACTTTTCTAAAACCATTAAACATATCTGGGTGCCTAAAATGGCTATTTTGCAAAACTAAGTACTTTTGTAGGTTTTAAGTATTGCTACTTATGTTAGGCCTACTTGAGTAATTCATCCGAGTACAACTTCCACCTCTGATTATCCATATATTAACTAACTATAAACTATATATTATTAACCAACTATACCTATGTTTCCAGTCATAAGGTACAACTGTATAGGTGGTAATATGACAGCCTAAA